CTGGTTTTGTGGAAGACAATTTCTCCACAGACTAGGCTGGGGGTGATTTGGCGATGGTTCAAGTGCATTGCACTTATTGTACCATTTCTATTATTAACTATAATGACATAATTACACAATCAGGGGATCCCTGGTCTTGTCATCCTGTAATAAGCGAGCCCATCTGGGAGTGATGGAAGATGGTGACGCCACAGTGTCATCTATGTCTGCTTTACTTCATAATCCCGTTTTGGGCTGTGACTAGCTAGAGCTTGTCTAAGGTTACCACATAATCCTTTCACATGTAAATGCTTTGACACAGTTTGACTTTAAATGCTTACGACACAACTGTTAGAAAACTGCAGCACCATAACTACCGATAGTGCCCTATAAACCAAAACTCATGCCAAAGCCAACTCCTTGTATCTGGCTGTTGAGTTTTCACACGCTGGTCGTGTACTTTCAGAAAGCCATTCCTATAAGCTAACGGGGATTCCAACTGTGGTGAAGGCTGGGGCTTTCCCAATATGTCCAGGTGTGTCTGTGTTAATGATTTATAAATCCAAAAGAATTATGTGCCATCTGATCCAAAACAAAGCCTTGAGGTTTATCAAACAGGTGACCAGGGGCCTGAGGACTGGAAAGGACAGGTAATAAGGTTCCTTGGAGCTCCAAGGACAAGTGAGGAGAGACTAGCTCTGAGGCTTCCACGCTGCCAAGGAAATCGCCCAAGGAATGGCTGCCTTCCATTTATGAAGACATTTTAAGGCCTGCAACTTACATTCAGATAATAGGAGAACACATAAACAATCCTAGTGTTCCACTGAGCAAAGGCTAAGAAGGAGATAGGCATAGAAAGTGAAAAGCCTTTTGTACCATGTGCCTGAGGGCCTTATGCCTGCTGGGCAGGCAGAGTGCGACTGAGCTACATCCCAGCCCTCCCAATCATGTTAAGTGTCTGGAGGTGGGGCCTTTGGGAGGTCATTAGGGTTAGATGAGATCTTGAGGGTGAGGTCCTCATGGTGGTAAGAGTGGCTTTATACAAAAAAGGGAGACCCAAACTAGCTGCTTGCTGGGTCTCAGCACGCGGTGCCCTTCATCAGGTTATGAGGCAGCGAGACAGTGGCTCCAGGTGATTTGATTTTCCCACCTCCAGAACTGAGTTAAATAAAACCTCTGCAGTATTTGTTATAAATTACCTAGTGTATGGTATTCCATTACAGTAAGAGAAAATAGATGAAGACAAGAGTATCAGAGGGTCATCTGTAGGTTGAGATGCTTGAAAGCAATTCCTTTAAAATTTCAAAATATAACATGTATTTTGTTCCAGCTCCAAGTGCAGTGTAGAGAGACAACAAAAATGCTTACAACACGTGGTCCTCACCCTCTGAACAGCGTCTCGAGTTGCAGTGAGCATATGGATCACCTGGGGAGCTGAGGGAAATCCCTGGAGATACATGGGGCATTGCTCTTTGTCCCCTTGGCCCATTATACTCAGTCCTCCTTATGTAAGCATCCTGTATTTGTGGATTCAACCAAGGATTGAAAATAGCTGGGGAAAAAAAACTGCATCTGTACTGAACTTGTACTTTTTCCTTGACATTATTCCCTGAACTACATCATCACAGCTATTTACATAGCATTTATATTGTTTTAGATATGAGAATTAATCTAGAGATGATTTAAAGTGTACAAGAGGATAATGCATAGGTCACATGAAAATATTATGCCAATTTTTATAAGGGACTGGAACATGCATGGACTTTGGTATCGTAGGACCAATTCCAGGATTGATTCCCCACGCACAAACTGCAGCTATAAATTGATGGCTATCACAGCTTCTTACCTGGCCAGAAGTTTCCTGGAAAAGGCCCTGAAAGCTGGAGGGAAGGTTATGCCCCTAGGAAGTCAAAAGGCAACCCTTGGACGCCAGAGTTGCTGGTAAACGGTAATAAAGCGAGGTGACGGGAGACTAGACAAAATACAGCACCTGTCAGCCAGTGTCTTGTGACCTTTCAGTGGATGTCATTTTCTTTCTTATAGATAGATAGGATTTCATTTCTCTGAGATATTAAATCATGTGCATACACGGGAACTAGCAGAAAGAATCAACAACTGGTATCTCATCTTATTAAAAGGCTTCTACACTGCAAAAGAAACCATCAACAGAACTAAGAGACAACCTACAATGTGGGAAAGAATTTTTACCAGCTGCTCCTCAGACAAAGGACTATTATCTAGAATATATAAAGAATGCAAAACAACCAGCCACCCACCCAAATATAAAGACCCAATTCAAAAATGGGCATCTGAAATGAACAGACATTTCTCAGACAAAGAAGTAAAAGCAGCAAGTAAATATGTGAAAAAATGCTCCACATCACTGGTCATTTGAGAGATGCAGATGGAAACAACTCTTGAGATTCGATCTCACCCCACAAAGAATGTCTGCTATCAAGAAATCAACCAATAACAAATGTTGGTGGGGTTGTGGGGAGAAAGGAACCCTTCTCCATTGTTGGTGGGAGTGCCGACTGGTGCAACCATTATGGAAATCAATATGGAGATACCTCAAAGAGGTGGGACTAGAGGTTCCATTTGACCCAGCCATCCCTCTGCTGGGTATCTTTCCAAAAGAATTAAAAGAATCATACCAGAGTGATACATGCACACCCATGTTTATAGCAGCACAGTTTGTAATAGCTAAAACTTGGAAACAGCCCATCTGCTCATCAGTTGGAGATTGGATAAAGAAGATGTGGTTTTTTCTATAAAATGGAATACTACTAAGCCATAAAGAATGAGAAATTAGAGTCATTCATAGGAAAATGGATACATTTTGAGGACATACTCCTAAGTGAAATAAATAAGTCACACATATGTAAATACCAAATAGTTTCTCTGGTGTGACAAACTATAATAGTACACAAGATCCTAATGGGATAATTAACAATGTGAAATAGGAAGAAAAGGGTTAATGGTGTAGGGAAAGTGGGAAGGGTAGGGGAAAGGGAATAAGGGAAAAGAAAAAATATGAGAAAATGAAAAAATGGAAATAAAGTGTTTGTAAATGGGGAGGGGAAGAGGGGTTGAAGGGAGGGCAGGGACAAGGGGAAAAAATGGGAACCAAGACCTGTCATGTAAAGGTACAAGATCCCAGTAATGAATGTAACTGTACTGTATACCTAGAATGTACCAATAAACTCAATAAAAAGAAAAAAAAATCATGTGCATACAATGGATCCCACACTTGGAGATTTCTTTTGGGTAACTCAGACATAATAGGTTTATGATGGTTTGTGGAAATTTGCTCAGGAATTAAAAGCTGAGGACAGGACCTGTGATTGTATTAATAGCTAACACTTTGAATAGGTTAGCGGCACCTGGAAGGGAAATAAACAGAAACCTTGCTTTGAGCTCATGCTACTCATGGGTGCTGTGGACCACACCATCCTCCTGTTGTGCCAAAGACAGTGCTCTGTCTGAGCTTCCTGCACAAGGAACCTGGCCTCAAGGTAATGATGAGAACCAGAAAGGTCTATACTCACCAGGGTTATTGTTTTCTCCCAAGGAAGCTTATAAGCAGAATTTCAGAATATAAGAGGACTAAAAAGTGTAAGCTTGGAGATGTGACTGGAATAGGATTTCTGATCTTGATAAGTAAGATTGTCTGCCATTAGCAGTTCATGAGGATAAAGATACTTTCTTCCTGTGTGTGTGTGTGTGTGTGTGTGTGTGTGTGTGTGTGTGTGTGTACACCAGGGACTTCACACGTTCTAGGCAAGTGCTCTACCACTGACCTGTACCCTAACCCTCAAGATACTTTGTAAAACAGTGATTTATATTTCATTTGTTGTCTAAGGGATGTAAGACAAACTATCTCTTAGCCAAAATGCTGAAGAATCAGAAGTGTTTTAGATTCCAGTTTTCAGATTTTGAAATACTTGCATATAGACTTTACTAATCCCCAAATCCCTAATCCAAACGTCCTTTTTTAATCCAAAAATAGAAAACCTGAAATGAGAACCAAGATCTGTCACGTAAAGGTTCAAGATCTCAACGATGAATGTAACTGTATGGTATACCTAAAAAGTACCAATAAACTCAGTAAGATAAAAAAGGATGAAAAAAAATATGAAACTTTTTGAGTGTTCAGAACATTTTTGGAACCTGTAATATTTATTGTTTATAACCTATAACTGCTCAAAATTAACTTTAACATTTAAGATTATCTTTCCATTTAATGAAGCTTCCATACCAAATTAGAGTGCTGTGGTTTTTACTTCAAGTTGTAGTACACTTAAGCACATTTATTTCTATGCTATAGGTCTTTGGCCTACTTTTCAAAGAACAGCTTATGAATTCTGGGAAGAGTAGGTGTGATGCCTGTTGGGTTCTTAATTTGTGATTTCCACTTACATTTTGAACACCTGGTATATTTTCAATGGCTGGAAGCCAGGGACAAGTCTGATAAACTGGACCTACAACCAGTTTTCTTATTGGAAAGAAGATAGTTTTACATCATTTGGTTTTCTTCCAAATTAATAAATGGCAGTTCATCCCAACTGCCTGGACAGTTGATTAATCCTTCATGTGAAGAGTTTCTGCTTCTCAAGTGATTATGCATTTATCATGTTCTAGCTTCAAAAGAAAATTATGTATTGCATTTTGTGCTAAGGTCAAGTCAGTCAGTGAAGTTTTCTCTTTTGCAGTGTGAAATGATTACATTCATTGTTGGGAGTTCATACATGTACATAACATATCTTAATTCTTTTTGTTTCCCCTGTCTCTCCCCTCTCTCTCTATCTCTTGGTAGTAGGGTCAATTCTCACCCTCTTTTCTCCTTTCCCCATGCCATCAATATCTCCAGAAGGAAAGCAAACTGAGCCAGTTAGGAAGTAAAGAGGCATATTTTAATCAATAATTATGAACATTTGTCAACCAACCATTAGGCAAGGAAAATATACAATAAAATATAAAGTATTCAAAAGATATTACCATATTGAAAACAAAGTGCCCAAAATCTTTACTATAAACTTCTTCACAGAATCAGAGGCAATAAAAAAACTTACTCAGAATAATACTTGGAATAGCTGTAAATGTTCCAAGTACATTTTAACGCTATAACAGATTATTTTGCACATGAAGTGGAAACAAATCTCTTTGCACATAGTTAGGTTATCTGACAACTTCATGAACAAACAATTGAATGGATGAACTGCTCAACATCAAGGTAGTACATTCACATTATGGGCCGGACTTACATTCACTCCTTGATCTTCTGCAGCCTCACTATCCCTTTCTCTGCTCTGCACCACAGGAAACCACCTTTCCCAGGGTCCTGACCAAACAGCTTCCAGATAGGGATGGAATGATAAGATGCCAGTGGAAGACAAGAGGACAGATACGCAAGGTCAGGGTATTTCTCAGCTTACGGCAGGCAGTGGCTTTGCCCTTTCCACGGCTCTATTTTGCACAATCCCTCAGTGGTCCTAGCTCCCAGCAGGGAGACCCAACCATCGTCCTAGTTTCTGTGGCTGGTCCTTCGTACTGGTTCAGGAAACCACACCCCTCCCGTTGTCCTCACAGTCCCAGGAATGCTAATAGCCTTCTGCTGTTTGGCTTTTATTTTTTTAATCTTTAATGAAATCAATTTCCTATTTAAATTCCCTGTATGAGAACACCCAGAATCGCTTCTGGTTTTGGGAATGGATCCTTACTGATACATGTTAGAGTCATTAGATTTTTTTCCCTCCTTTCACTAACCTGGGAATGCTTACATAAAAATTTGCCCTCAACTAATGAAAAGCTACTCAAATTACACAATACAGGCCAATGACTATCTTTTCAGCTGTTTTCTGTCAAGAGCGGAGATTTGTTTTGCCAAGTGCCAGTTACAGTGGACACAGCCAAGAGTTTTCTCCAGAGGGCATTTCTGTTGAATGTACTAAGTGCAATTAACAAAGTAAAAGAAATACAACCTTAACCTTAAGAGGAAATTACAAAGTCATCAAATTAATAACACAGTAAAACAAAAAGGCTCTAAAAAATCAGAGGCCATAATTCAGCACCAGAATGTTTTTCCCCTGTTGAATCAGTAAATTTTCCTGATATTAAAATCTTACAACATTTCTGGATATTCCAAGAGCATCAAAATAGTAATGATGACCTGACTCATCAACAAATGATCCCTAGCTTCTTGGCTAGAAGGAATGGTTACTTGCAGAAGTAGAGTTCTTTGGTGAGCATGGAGACCACGCACGGGATCTGCTTCTTCTCGTTGAAACGAGGGTCATCAGACTGGGACTCAAAGTGCCTGGCTACGCTGTAATTCACCCTTGTGAGGATCTGCATGATCTCCAGCTCTTTGCCATGCTTCTCCAGGACGGAGCAGAGAGCCTGCACAAACCAGGAACCTCTTCCTGGGTTCCTCCAAGAGTAATAGCCTTTAACAGGAAAGAAATGAGAAGATCTGATGAGCTAAGTCTCGTAGCTGCTCCCCACACCAATGAGAATGCACTTCCAGTGTCTAAGGCCTTCACACCTGCTTTTCGGAAATGATTTCCCCCTACTCTGCATACGAGTTACTAATGAGAATTATGCTGATGTGCTGAGAGTGAACATCTCAGGAGGAAAGAACTTCATCACTCAAGGCCAGGATTGGTGGGTACTGCTAGAGGACTCTCCTACATCTCTTTTGATGCAGTCACCCCTGTGGGTACCTAGAAGATACCCAAAGGACAGTGAGACACATCTGCACATGTGGATTTCCACAGGAAAGGTGGATCACTCCACAACTCTCCAGCTCCTCAGCATCCTTTTGGAAAGAGTGCTGCTTTCTAACCCAAGCCAAGCCTAGAAAAGAGCCCTGTAAAGAACCTCAGAGAAATCTGAGATGCGTTCTTGCTGTTGGGAGATAAAGAAACAGAGCTGCATCCTGCTGAAGAAATGTAGAGGCAACAAGAGGTTCTGAATAACTGGGGCTGAGGCAGGACAGCCTGCTGCCTGGTAGAGCTGGCAGCATCAGGGGAAGGAAGGGATGGTGTCTCTCATGGGCCACATATGGTCTGTGGGAGGGACAGCTTGCTCTTGAGCTATCCTGGGTCTTGGTCAGGGCCAAGAAGAGCTCAGCAAAAAGAGCTCAGGGGTCTGGGGGATGGTCAAAAACTGAGGAAGGAACTGAGATCTACTGAGAATTCTTTCTTGCAGCACACAGCACTGGCAACTACCCACATGATGCCTGAGCTTGATGCTGTAACAGTATGACAATGCATTTGTCTTTAGGGGGTCAATTACACTGTTTCATTCAGTGCAGTGACTTGATAAGGCTGGGTAGAGACTATCATCTCTCTGAGCTGTGCCCTCTGACCATTTTCCTAAAAGGGCTGCAAGGTAACCATTCAAAAGTGCAGATGGCATCCTATGACTCTGACAGAAAAGAATTTCTTTGCATTTCTTTCCCAGAGGGAAGTTCAGCCCGCTTAGCACTACACACAGGGACCACAATATGGTCCTTTGCCTGCCCATTCAGGTCTGACCCGAGCCAGGCCTTGTCACATGCTGTGATATGGACAGAACCATGACTCCCTCTTGAAATTCACATTTGAAGTCTCAGCACCCAACATGACTGTTTGTAGACCAGGCCTTCAAGGAGACAATGAAGGTTAAATAAGGTCACAAGGGTGGGACTCTGATCCAAAGAATTAGTGTCATTGTAGGACGGGATGGTAGAGAGTTCATTCAAGCTTGTGCTCACTCACTCCCCTCCACCCTTTCTCTCATCAGAAGCTGGCTGGTTACAAGCCAGGAAGAGAGCCCCCACCAGAAACCTGATACTGGGCTTCCCAGCTGCCAGAACTATGAGAAAAAAAATGCCTGCTGGTAAAGTCACTAAGGCCATCGTATCTTGTTATATCACCTGGAGCACTGACAGATAACATCCTACAGTTTGGCCCTGAGTTTTACCAAACACATTGGGCTGTTTTAGCCAGCACTCTGTCAAGCCATCCTTCTCTGCCTCTGATTGAATTTTCATAACTCAGTGGCAGCAGCTCCTTTTGAAGGGAAATCCCTCTCACCTGGCTCCCTAGAAGAGTTTACTTTTCTTCTCTGAGTTCCTTCAGATGTTGCTCTGAGTACCTGTAACTCCACCACTGGCCTTGTTAATACTGACAAATCCCTCCTCCCTGGTCTGCTTCCCAAGATCAGGAAGACCAAATCTCATACAATCCTAAAACTCGTGAAGTTACCTTTCTCCCAAAATCCCATCTGTAGATCTGACCAGAACTGGTTTTTCCACATACACTGACCTATTTACAGTAACCAATACCGTCACGTGAAACATTGACAAAGCTGCTATCACAGCTGGGAGAATTCTAACTTAGTGACAGCTTGTTCCCAAAACAGAGGAAGGACTTTCACTGAAGAGATCTAGGCGAGGACCGTGCTTCGTAAATAATGAGTAGACACGTTCATACTGGCAATTCCTGGTACCTGTGCACAGGCAGCAGGGCAAAGGACCCCGGTCTGAGCCACAGCTCAGACGTTGGACACTGAAATCTCTGTCTGACCTTGGCCATATTGCTCAAGTTCATTTATTTTTTTCATCTGCACAATTACTATAAGGATGATATAAGGGAAAAGACCCCCCAAACCATTCAAGTTACTATAGAAATGTTTTTTTCCCTTACAATTACTATTAATAATAGCAATAACAAATGAGGTAATTCTAGTCTTCTGGAAAGAACAGTGAATGAATTCCTAATGGTAGGCAGAATAATGGTCCTGAAATGCCCATGTCCTAATCCTGAAACCTGGGACTATGTTACCTTGTGTGCGAAAAGGACTCTGCAGGTGTGATTAAGGTTACAGACCTGAGATGGGGAATGATCCTGCTGGGCCCAGGTGAATCACAGGAGACCTTTCCTGGCAATGGCCAGAAAGGGACAGGAATGTGAGGACAGAGGAAGGGGCGGAAGGAAGTGAGGTAGCTGCTTTTAAATGGAGGCAAGGGCAGCAAGCCAAGGAATATAGGAAGTTCTAGCATGCTGGAATAAAAAGGAAGAAATGAATTAACTCCCCTAAACCTCCAGAAAAAGGCAGCCCTGTCAGTTTATTTTGGTATTTTGACCTTCAGACTGCAAAATAATGCATTTATGGTTATGATTTAATATACTGTGTAGCACAGGTTGAGAATCTGTTATCTGAAATGCTTGGGAGCAGAAGTACTTCAGGTTTTAGAGTTTTTAGATTCTGGAATATGCATGCATAGACTTTATGGGTTGAACACCCTTAACAAGAAAATGCCAAATCTGAAATGCTCCAAAATCCAAACTTGGTGTATGATGCTGGCACTCAAAGAGTTCTGAAATTTAAATCATTTCAGATTAGGAACACTGAAATTGTAATTACGTACTACAGCCACAGAAAAACAGGACAGACACCAAGCCTGCAGCTGGAGGCTGAAATGGACCGGTATGACTAGCAGTGGGCCAGGTACCTGGAACTGTGGAATAAGCGAAGAGAAAGTCAGCTTCCACTGGGATCTTGTGGCGGGGATTGGCATCGGTGTAACTGATGGGCCCTGAGTCAGTCTGGATCCCATCGTCGAGCTCTGTCCCCCGGCAAGCCTGAAGGTCAAAGCAGAGACCACGCATGGAGTGAGAAACAAAAATGCTGTTCTCTCCTATGCCCCAGGGCACAGGACACATGTGGCACATGCTAGGAGCTCAGTGACGTCTGGTGAGTGAACGGTGAGTCGAGTCACTAATCAGAGCAATGTGACTAATCAGCCACTGCAGTGCAATGTGATCCAATGCCAACAAGAACGCCAACTACTTACAGGCAGAAAAACCAACCCCAAATCCACATATCCCAGTAGGATCAGAATGGAGATTTGCAAGGATGATGCCAGCCCGAGTCACTATGTGGTCTTTTCCCATTTTCCACTCTACTGGCTTTGAGAAGTGATTACCTGAACGAAGAAGAGTTTGGGTTTCTCTAAAAGGGTTTTGCATCGATCACCCCGAAAATGGCCTGTCAAATCCTTTATTGGCGTCCTGCCATCCTTTCCATAGATTAAGTCTTCTTCTCCATGGCTTAGCAAGATGCAGGCGAAGCAGGCTGAGTTGGTGTGGTCTTCTTCAGCAGCTGCAAGCAATGCAAACAATGGGGCTTTAAAACTTGGGTCCTTTGGGGCTGTAGACCTAGCACCTGCAGGCAGCTTTGGCAGTGCCCATGACCACAACGAGAGAGGGGCCAGGGATCAGGCATCTCTGGAAGACTGGGCTTTGTCTGGATCACCCTCTGAAGAGGACGAGGACCAGCGCAGACAAGATAGAAGAGAATTCTGGAATTCTTACTTGGGGTAAAGCCAGGACGAGGCAGTCTCATGAGGGGTGACCCCAAGTGCCATGGTGCTCCAGCAGCTGTGGGCAGGCAGAATACTGGGGAGCAGGAGAATGGGGCCCTGCTGATCCCTAGCTCTGTGACACTGTACATGAGACTGCTACCTGGCCATCCCATCTCAGTTTCCCTGTCTATAAAGTGGAGGTGGTAGCACCCACCGAATGAGGAGTTAGTATCTGTAAAGTGGGCCACATCCTAAGCATCATGCAAGCATTTCTGAAGAAAATAATACATTTTTTCCAAGTGAAGTAAGCCAGTCACCAAAGGACAAGTACGACGGTACTTGTCACAGGGGGAAAGAATGGCAGGTGCCAGCAGCTGGGGAAAAGAGGAAACGGGAGTTAATGTTTAACAGCAATGATGGAAAAAGACTCTGGAGATAGATGGTGGTGATGTTTGCACAGCAGTGTAAGCTCACGTACTTAAAAAGGATTAAAGTGGAAACTTCCATATTGTGTTTAGTTTACTATAACAAATTAAAAAGAAAGAAAAGAAAAATGCTACACTGGCTGTCAATTCAGGACACTGAGAGAGTAACTGTAGCCTGTACTGCTCCTTGGCTTAGCTCCAACTCGTCTAAGGTTCTATGATGCTAACTAACTAGCTAGTTAACTATTCAGCTAGCAAATGTGGTCTTCTTTTTTCTCTGTGATCAGTGAGGGAGGCAGAGGGAGATTTAGAATTTCATGGGCACCTACTATTTGTTGATACCCAGGTTCTCTGTATAAATTATCTTATTTAACCTTAAGAAGAACCCCCTAAGGGAAGCTTTAGTTATTTTCATTTCATGATAAAAAGTGGAATCTCAAGAGTGCTGTTATAAGCTAAGATTTTTTTTTTGGTACTGGGGATCAAACTCAGGTCCTTGTGCTTGCAAGGCAGAGGCAGCAGAACCAATGAGCTAAATCCCCAGCCCACAACAGTGCTGTTATAACCTTGCCCAAAGATGGGACAATCTGTCGGGGCTGTGGTGCCACGCTGGAAGTATGGGTTGGCCTCGCGCTGCTCAGCACTAACAGGCAGAAGGTGCAGCCTCTCCCATTCTAATCCCCAAGAGAGCTGCCACAGAGCTGCACAGTGACTCCTGTATTCGTTTTTTTTTTTTGTGGTACCGGGGATCGAACTCAGGTCTTTGTGCTTGTGAGGCAGGCCACCGAAACACTGAGCTAAATCCCCAGCCCTCCTGTATTCGTTTTGATAAGAGGAAGGCAGCATGACGATGAAAGTTAGACATTCTTGGCTTATTGTAAGATTGGACGAATTACGATGGAGTGGCAAAATGAAGAGTTATGTCCACCCTGAAACCTCCTGCAGCACAGTCAAGATCAGTAACTGCTTTACCGTTTCGAAAGCTTAAAAATCAAGAGCTCTCTGACGGTGACATGCTCTGAGCTTGGATGGAATCATTCACCTTCACAAGAATAGGCGCGACAGCCGGCCCAAGCCCCGAGGTAAGGCCTGGATACTTCTCAAAGGCACGCTCTGAAGTCTTCTCTTGACTCATCCTCCCTCCAACCCCAGGAAATGGCACAGCTAGGATCAGGACCCACATTTCATGAAAGCAAAGAAATCAGGAAGACACGGCTGCTCTGGCTAGGTTACCTCACTGTTGGAACTGGGGCAGACCCACAACTTGAGCTCCTGGGTTCTAGTCTGTTCTACCTCTTCTGTGCAGACGTTTGGAAGACTCAAGTTTGAAAAAGCCGTAAAATTATGCCTCGTTACCAAAAAAGTAAGAGAGGATAAGATCTTTTTCTTTTTTAGCTGCACAACTAAGAAAAGCAACCGTGAACTGTCTGCTGGATCCCTGTCTAATGAATCGGCAGGGCTTCACTTTCAAACACCTGCCCTGAACGCCAGTGCACCAGAGGTGACAGCGCCAGATGGCGTGGTAAGCAGACATGCACTCATCCTGGAGTTGGAAAGTGAGAGCTCGGGTTTTGGTTCTGCTCCTACCTGGCTCTGCAGCACATCTCATATCCTCTCTAAAGCTCCATCCCTTCATTTATAAAATGGACACGATAATGAGACTGCCGGCCACTATGGCAGGGTTTGTGTTAAGGGTCTAACAAAACAGTTTCACACAGAGGTGGCACACAGAAAATAAAGAATACCGAAATTTCATTCTGGATAAGAGGATATAGATTTGTTTCTTCCCTGGATATCAGTCCTTTGGAGTTGAGATCGTCTACATATACAGAATCTGTTTGTTTTGCGGGGATTCAAGCCGACTTCATCTTTTCGCAGAGATACCAATGTCTTTTGAGACCTGTCTCGCCCAAGACAAGTAGAGAGTGACCAGGGGAAGAAAGGTTCTCTGTCCTGAGAAGGCATCTTCCTGAGCCCTCTCGGTGCAAGGGCAAGGCAGAGGAGGAGGGTAAGTGCTCACCGCGTTTAAGCAGACCTTGCATCTTGGCACAAGTGCAGTCATTATAAACAACCACATCAAAACCCAGGCTTCGGAAACACTTGAAAAGGGCCTCAGCATCTTTGTCGGTTCCATTTCGGACGCTCATTCCTGTAGAATCAAGCAATGAGTCCATGTGTGAGCAATGCATTTACAGGTTACCATCAGGTCAGACACTGAATGTGGCCAGGGCCAGCTCCAGCACAAATGCTCTGAGCACACAGAATACCTCCAAAACTCATTCCTGTGGAATCAAGCAATGAGTCCATGTGTGAGCAATGCATTTACAGGTTACCATCAGGTCAGACGCTGAATGTGGCCAGGGCCAGCTCCAGCACAAATGCTCTGAGCACACAGAATACCTCCAAGGTCACAGTTTAAAGGGGCAAACAAAAGGAGAAGGAAGCTCAAGAGGGGAGATTCAGCCCATGCACAAAAGGTGAACCCCTTCATGGTAACTCCCAGCCGCAATCAAAGCCAAATGACTCCCTTGATGCTTAGCTCCATGATCAAGATGCCTGACAGCTACTATGCAGTGGGACCTCTGCCCGACTGCCCTGTTTCCCGGCATCCCTTTCTTTGGGACATAGGGATACCACCTTCAGGGGTGGCTCCCTTGATGCTTAGCTCCATGATCAAGATGCCTGACAGCTACTATGCAGTGGGACCTCCACCCGACTGCCCTGTTTCCCGGCATCCCTTTCTTTGGGACATAGGGATACCACCTTCAGGGGTGGTCTTCAGGTGGGCCCAGCATTACTCAGTGAATGTCTGATACAAACCAGAGGCAAGAGAAGGGAACAGGAGTTAGCCCAGGCTCACAGCGCCTACCTGTCACTTTGTCAAAGTTCTTGTTGTTTACTATGATGCACTTGCCCACCTTCTCGAAATTCATGTTATACTGATATGCGGGCACCTGGTCCTGGGGGATCCTGGTTGGGACTGCAGAGCCATTCTTCTTCTTCTTACTGGGGAAATACACAGCCAGTTAGGTGAAGTCTGACAGGGGCCTCCGAGCCCAGGCAGGCCACGGCGTGAAGGCCTGGGCTGGACAGACAGCTCTGCTTAACAGGAACAGAGTTCTGTGGTAATTTTGTTAGATGTCAGAGAAATGCAAATTGAAATCATGGTATGGCACCAGTACACACTTCCAGGAATGGCTGCAGTGTGAAAGAAACTTAGCACTCAGCACCTGAAGGATCACACATTGCTGGTGGGACCTACTCTGTACATCCACTGGGGAAAACAGCAGAGTCCATGAAAACTGAGCTGACGCACACCCGTGACAGAGCCACCACCCCGGGTGACAAAGACATGTTCACCAACAAGCATGTTCACTACTCGTTTCCAAGGTGTTGTCAATATGTAACAATAACCCCCAAAGGAAATAATCCATATCGGCTAAACTGCTGAATATTCATGTAATAAAATATAGCAATGAGAATAAAGAAACAATGAAAGCGGGAAGTGACAGCAATGAATCTCACAAATACACAGCAGTGAAGGATCACATAAAAGTTAACAAAATGAAGACCTTGTACCAGCTAGTCTGGGGATGGTGTTTCCATGTCGGAGGGACAGGGACTGGAGTGAATAAGGACTTGCTTGAGTGTGGCTCATCTTTTGTTCCTTGCTATGGGTGCTGGTCACAGGTGTGTGTATGAATTCATGTCTGTGCTCTCTTCTAAGTGAATGTTACAATTTAAATATGTCTACATTAAAATGGGAAACAAATAGGAACAAAGAAATTTAAAAAGAAAGCAGGTCTCTTTCACTCTCCCATCAACTGGTGGTACCGTTTGCCAAAAGCCTGGCAGGCAGGGCTGTAGGCACAAGCAGCAACCATCATGGGGAGGCCACAGAATCAACTGTCCGGTGAGAGTGGGAGCAGCCCTTGTGGGTTCCATGCCGATGTGTACTCCAGGGAGCAAGGGACTTCTAGCCGTTCTGAAGACGCTGAATCCTCAACACACAGGACAACGCCTGGCACATGAGGTGCTCGGTAGACACTTGTAGGAATGAACAAGCCAACTGAACCTCACCCCCCACCACTGCACAGATATGGAAGCTGTGGCCCACGGGAGGCGGGGGCTGTCCAGGCTACCCACTACTAAAAGGGCAGGATGGCCCTCAGACAGGCACAATGGAGCGGGGGAACGCCGTGCCCTGGAGTGCTGGTTGCAATGGCCACCTGTTGTCCTCCCTCAGCTCACCCCTAAAGGTGGAAGAGGCAAAGTGAAAGTGAAAACTCAGTATCTACTGACACACTCGGTCCAAGTACACTGCTCTTGGGTTTCCATCCACTCTTATCTGTCAGTTTCTCGGAATCTCTGAAAGGATACGGCCGTTCCCTTCACCCTACCTCGATCCAGGTCACACAGATCAGCTCCGTGGGCCTAACCTGCCCAGTCCTTCTTGCTATCTTTCCACTTCGACGTGACTTTGTACCACCCTACTTTTAAGCTTACATTTCTTCCATGATGACCCTTGATCTTTAAGAGAAAACTATCCTCCATTTGTTCTGCCTTCTTAGGATGCCTTTGCGCTTTGGTGTTCAGTTAGGTTTTCAGGGTGACATGAGTGGCGTCACACTCCTAACCCCAGGCAGACAGCACCCGAGAGCAATGGCCTTGGGGTGTGTGTGAGTGGGCCAGAGCGCTGCCATCCTTTGCAGAGAGCCCACTTCCTGCCCTGTAAAACAGAGCCAGCAGCATGCAGTAGGGGCAGCTTTCTGTGACAGTCACAAAGTTAAGTGAGGGGGGTGGTGGCAGCAGGTAATCCCTGTAGGGGGCCCCTGTCCGTGCTCTCTGGAATGATATGAATTTTACCACAGCGAGTTTCAGTTTTGTTTAGGGACAGGCCACAAAGCAGAAGAATTTATGTCTTCCCTGCCACCCTGTTGATGGCCCTGTTGGCAGTGTCCACTGTGCAGGGTAGATTTGTGTGCCCAGCCTCTCATGGACACACACAATCTCTGGTCTTGGGACAGATGGCTTGGAGTTAGGTAGGGGACACAATGCCCATTTTACAGATAGCAATGAGAGCAATGAACATCTGTCAGTGCCTATCATGGTCTTGTTAAAAGTCTCAGCTGCATGTTCTCACTGAATCCAAACAGCGACCCAAAGAGGGAGGTGGATGTCACCAGAGCCCCATTTAAGGTTGAGCAATAGGGGCTTGGGGATTTTTAGTGGCTGGAGGATGAGCCAGCACAGCAGGTTCAAATCCAGGAGATGAGACTCAGAACCCTCATCTTACTGGACACTGGTGACCTTCAGGTAGAAATGGCAAGCAATGGACTTCTGGGTGAGAAGCCAACTGCAATAAGCCACCTCCCTCCAGAGGCCACTCGTGCTCTAGGCACCAGGACCAGCAGAGCAGTGGCCAGGTGACTCTCCAAGGGGACCACTCAGCTGTCCACCTGGGGAGCTAACTGAAACATGCCAACGTCTCAGAGCTTCTGTTTCCTCAATGATAAAAACAGGCCTAGTTACCCCTGTAGGATCAATGGGACAGGCGTGAAATGTACAAAGCTCCGAAGAAATGCAGCACACTTAGGTATCCATTCCTTACCAGGACCTGCCACCTACAGGCCAGAGCTTTACAGAACCACCGCCTGCCCCCACAGCAATGCGACATTGTGCAGACAACAAAGTTGAAGTTAGAGCTGGGATGGGATTCTTGGTGATCCAGCTTCCCAGCGTATGCTTTCTCCACTATGCTGTTTATTCTTAAACACCATCTCTGATATGAAAATTCAGGACAGGCCTTAACTCATCTGCTGTGTTACTTTTGGGGAACTTAAAGGACAATCTGTGACTAATCTTGAATGAGTGATGGTAGCTTTAGGATGGGCCACCAGCCCAGAATGCATCCAGCATTCTCCCCAACCTTTCAGAAAAATACCAAAATGGGCTAAAAGGAAAGAAAACGGAATAGGTAGTTTTTAACACATTAGATTCCTGGGTCTTAAGCTACCTAAAGGCCATTCAGAGACCCCCAAGAGAGGCAGTATGTCTGGCAGGGTAGAGGCTGCATTTTATGCACAGCAATTTTTGAAGAGATAAAATTATACTTCTGAAATGAGGACCTACCTCTAGTACAATGTAGTGACCAAGGTGTGGGTTTTTAAAGCTGCCAGGAGCTCATTCTCAGTGATGAGCAAAACCAGTAAGCATATGTTTTCTAAGAAAAACAAGTTTGGATGTAAGTCCACATGTGACAATTAAAAGGACTTTGCCTCTATCAGAATAAAATTTGGAAAAATGATTACTAATTTTTAATTAAAATTAACGTGATTCAGAAAAAGGAACACTTTAAAGTAAATATGGGCCATGATGATGAAACTACCTCAAAATGGAATGTGAAGTGTAATTCTTATCTTTGGTAAGTATCTCAAAAGGGTGGTAAGGACAATTTCCCTCCTCTACCGTGCTCTAAAATGGAATTCCTATTTTTCAAAATGATTTTAATACCTGCTCCCCTTTTCTGGATTTGAATCAGTTGATACTAACCTTCCCTTCTAACTCAAACAGCTTTTTTTATTAAACCCAGGTTCTCCCAGACTACAGATGTGTGTTAGAGAATGATTATCAATCCAATCCCATTGAATTTCGCTTTTTAAGTGGAGCTGGCTTGGGGCAAGCAAATTGTGGGGATCAGCTTAGAGCATGTAACTGAAAAGACAAATAAAAGGAGGAAACGACGGTCAGGAAAGCATCAAGAAGGAATAACAAGAAAAAAAAAGAGGAAGAAGATTAAATTCCACTGCACAGAGATATGTTCTGCAAGAATGAAGCTGAAGGCCCACCCCTTTGACCCGGTGCCACAGAGGAGCCCAGCTGTGCAGGTGACAATACAGTGGTGATGGTGCCCCAACCCCCAGAGAATGAGAGAAGGAAGGCCTTTCTGAGGCTCCCAGGTGAAAGTTGAAGCCCACTGGAAAAGTGAAGAAAATCTGTGATAAAGGCACACCACACCACCGTAGTTAGTAAGTTGGAGGGACCAGCACTCACATTGGAACCTGGTCTAACTTCAGGGGAAAGACAGCTGGAACCTGCAGTAGAGCCTTGCAGAGTTCAACCCAGCAGGAGGTTGGAGAGCTTAACTTGGGCCTTGCAGCCAAAAATCAGCCTGAACCTCAGGGGACAGCTGCTGACTGACTGAGACTAATTACCTTACACCTGCACACTCCTGCTCACACTGTCTGTTGTGTCAAGAGAGGCACACCCTGAAAGAGGCCCTCTATTTCTATTTGTATTTTTATTTTCAAAGTAATATTTTTCACTTATCTTTAATCATTTAGAAGTATTTTTCTCTTTTCTCAACTTTTTTCCTTTTTTAATCTTCTTTTCTCTCTCTCCCACTTTAATCTCTATAACTCTCCCTCTTTGTTCCCGTTCCTATCCTAATTTGAATTTTCTTTCTTTCCCCTTTCTTCACTTTTTCCTTATCTCAACTACCATTAGTTTTAAAAGAAAATGTACAGTCTCTAGACTCCCTATTGCTGTTAGTTTGCTCTCTTCTTGGGAATATTTTGTTCTGTTTTCTCCTCTTCTCTTCAACAGCTCCATAGAGTTTGTGTGATCTTCTTGTGTCCTCTAACCTCACTTCTAACCCTTCTCTATCCTATCTATCCCTCCCTCCCCAACTCCTTCTAAATCCCCATCCTAAAGGGTAAAGTTGCTATGTTGAAGAGTTTACTCACTATAAACATATTTTGGACTGGTCCTTGATTTTGATTTTGTTCACATGGTTAAAGGTGATAGATTAATAACTACCACAAACTGTCATTTTCTAAGCTGTGCTTGATGCTGTTGTGTTGCTGATTTTATCACTTGGGCTAAGGTGTTGTGATTGATCTCATCAGTTGTCCTCTCTGGTATAATGAAAATGAGTTTGCATTAGAGACTCAAAACCTAAAGACCAGCTATATCTGGAAGATTGAAGTATTAAACAAGGAATTAAA